CAAAATAACAATAGTTGCCGCCGTTTTAACGCATACTGCGGTAGATCAGGTGACTACTTTACTAACAAGTCGCTGCTGTGATTTCCTTTCATAATTTTTTCAGCTAGGAACCGTTTTGGCCACTTTGCTTATCATCCAACTCGCGGAGTGAGGAAGGGGGGGGGGTTAGGGGAAGGAGGATTTAGGTGGGGCGACTGATCGCGTTTGATTTATTGCTACTCAATTGGGGATCTCTTCACCACATCGACAGAAACGTCAGGAAAAAATGTAGAATCTGATTGTACTGAAAATTGTCTACGAGCTGATATGTTTTCTTGCTTACGACGATTTATACGCCTGGTGAAAATAACGACGAAAGACGAGTGTGAAACAGAATTTTATTCTGGATGATACAGCTTTATAAAAAAAGTGTCATAAAAATTGAACGACGTGAAGTTGTAGCGAGGGATTTAGGCTGCCGAATCAGTGCTAACACTTCTGTGAAAAGTTCCTCTCCAGCGAGTGAGATCGGCTTAATTATTGCATATAAATATCTAACATATAAATTTTGATATGTTTACCTCACTTTTACAGTATATTGAAAGAACCATTTGAATTTGAAAAGTAAGGCACAGGCTATCGATATTTAAAGTGTCGAATAATTACTAAAACCTCAAAAAGGATTGCAAAAAAGTTTTCTTTGAATATGGTTGCAAACAGGAGAAAAGTATTAAAAATACTTCTCTGGCGAACATAATTCTAATCATTAGTTTGCATCTATATCAAATCTCAATCAAATCAAATGCTATATTTGAGCACGGTTCTCCCTTACCGCTTAAAATTTTTCTACTATCCTTAAGTACTTAGCGTTTTTCAACTTACGTCAACTCTGAATAATTGGAACTAAACGAATGATTACTATAAACTTGGTTATCGTAAGAGTTTTCGATGAATACATATCGTGTACAGCATACGCAATATCTTTCGATATATTACTAGGTGTTCTTCAACTTTTAATTACTATGATGACTCTCGGGTCTTACATGAAACTAACGAAGAGCAAAACTAAAGATTTTTTTGGTGATTCCCATTGTACAATGCAATAAAATTGATTCAGTGCTAAATTCACGACATTGCGTAGTAGAAAAGAGTTTTTCTCCACAATAGATAAGTATAACACAAAAATTCCTAAAATTTTTGCCAACTGAAGAGAAAAATCTTAATCAAACAGCATAAATCGCTCATTTCACTCTGCGCACATCAAATGCTATAGCCGTCCGTTAGGGCTTAATAAAAGGCTTAAAACATCAGTATTATTCAAGCTATTGGTCAGAAATATGTGTCTCCAAAGAACTGATCTCGCTACGTCAGATGACAAGAATAGGTCATGTATTTTTAGTTGCTTAGCAACCTCTAGGATTTTGTGGAGCTTGTCTTCTTCTCACCTTTATTGCCCACTGATGTTGTAGTGAGGTTCGTATGTCAGAATGTGACTAGATGCTGACTAAATACTGAATTTGCGGCCACAAAATCGTTGAGCCAGTTTTGGTTAAAAAAATTTTAAGCATGTTTCCTCATAACTATCGTTGACTTTTATTAAGACTTCGACATGTTTCTTGTTTCGAATTGATTGGCACACTCGATTGAATCTCTACCATTATTTCCAAACATGATAGTGATTTCGTGAAACATCTGCTTTGTCGTTTGGTAAGACGGCTTATTAATGAACCATATCGACACGAATTTTGCTTCAGAACAGAAGCGAGATTGACTCAAACAATTTTGATGCCGTATTTGAAATGAGGCATATAATAGGACATATATGCTTCCCGTGAAGAAGGCGTTGGACGAGATACCTAATGCCCACCAGGTGTTTTATCGAAATACAGTTTATTAATACTTTGAGGCAATATGGCTATTTCTGAACGTGAGATTTGTGTAGACAGATAGAATTTATGATAAACGCTCACTTCGTTGTCCGCTCCACTTGCGTGTTTCAAAAGCTGGAAATGAATATGGATCAGAAAGAATGAAAATCCGTTTTGTTTCTAAGAAAAAAGAATATCCTTACTATACTACCAGTCAGAAGCGTTTGCCAACAGGGTGTCAGCGATGCACATGGCAGAAACATGCATCACCTGTATCACCTGTCGTCCCGTGTTGATCGTCGAGTGACTCGAGCGGGTACCAGCAAAACTTCCATTTTTCCCTATCCGTGCAAGAGTAGCCCAGTGGATCCTTCTCGCTCTAGGGATTCGCTGAGAATTATATCTTTCTTCTATCGCTTTCGTGAAGAAATCGGACCAACGGGTCAGTGGTCTTCCTTTAGAGCGCCTGACGTCCCGAGGAATCCAGTCGGTAACGGCTCTCGTCCATCGGTTGTCGTTGAAGCGCATCACGTGTCCGGCCCACCTTATTTTCGATATCCTGGCGTGTAGAACGGCGTCTCTGATTTTCGATCGTTGACATAGGTCGGAACTTCGGATCCTTTCTCTCATTTGCGAGATACGGGATACTCTTAGCATCGACCTTTCGACTGCGCGTTCGATAACGGCAAGTGATCTTTCATCCTGCTTACTTAGCGACCAGGTTTCTGCTGCATACGTCAGGGCAGGGATGATTGTCGAGTCGAAAAGGTATGCACGAAATCGGATGTTTTTTGTCCTCTTCACTACATCTTCGATGCTCTTAAACGTTCCCCAAGCCGCTCGTTTCCTCCTGCTCAACTCTGGAGCTAGGTCGTTCATCATGTTGATTTCGCGACCTAGATAGACGTAACTGGAGCATTCGGAGATTGTCGTTCCGTTGAGCGTGAATGGGGCATTAGTAACCCATCCTTTCCTTATGAACATTGTTTTCGTTAGATTCAGTTGAGGACCAATCTTTCCACAAGCATTATAGAAATCGGTCAACATTCGTTCCGCTTGGCTGATGTTTGGTGTTATGAGAACGATATCGTCAGCAAAGCGAAGATGGTTTAATTGTCGACCGTCAATTTTCACTCCCATTTCGTCCCATTCTAATGTTCGCATGACGTTTTGTAGGGTGGCAGTGAATAGCTTTGGCAAAATTCTATCGCCTTGTCGAACCCCTCTTCTTACGCCAATGGTGATATTGTTGTAGAATGGAGATATTTTGGTCGTGAAATCTTTATAAAGCTCACGAAGGATCATTATGTACCGAGTAGAGATGCCCTGGTTATCCAGAGCCTCTATAACCGCTTCTGTTTCCACTGGATCAAAAACTTTCTTCAGATCGATGAAAGTGAGACAGAGTTCACTCCCTCGGACCATCCTCTTTGAGGGATCCCGCCCGGTTAGTCGCGAGGGACGTGGAGCGTCCCCAGGTGGTGGATAGGGGAATAAAACGCGAACCAAAAGCGACCGTGTGCTTCCCAAAGACGCAGGTGGATCCAGGGGACGAGCTCCCTGCTTCTGCAGCGCCGACTTGACAAAAACTCTATTTCTACGCGTGAAGTCGGCCAAAAGCCTGCAATCAAGCGGCTGGGAAGCACATGGGAGGCGGTTAAGAGTCGCCTCCAACAAATAAGCTCCTCCCGCTCCTCCGAGAGAGACTGGCAAGCTACTCGTGAGTACCCAGCCCCCACGTTTAGAGCCTGGCAAGCTATACGTTGGGTATCGAAATGCCAAAAACAGCAATAAATATGGGCCTCATTCCTCTGACCCTGAAAGAAACATGCATAATTATAGGAAAATATTAGCAACAAATAGAAACGGCACCCAGAAGCCTTATGACTTCCTGCTCAGTTTGTGGAGACCACAAATTGGCTGTCCACAAACGCTCCTGCTATTGAAACTATTTTGTCGACAGTTTCACATTGTCCGGCATGATAAAAATTGGTTGGATGTAATCCTCAGCTTACTTTTTGTTTTACTGATGTTTTATTTATCCGTTATTGGCTTTTTTCATCGATCGGATCCAGTATTCCTAGTTTAATTTGTTTTCGTCTTGTCGTAGTTGAATATCGTAGAGCACTGGCCGAGCGAATCCCCTAGAAATTTTGAGAATAGCCTGGCCGTTGCGTTCCATAGGGCATTCGTCGTTGAGTGCCGGAGAGAGTTGAGAGATGAGCTTCTCCATGCGCGTCGTGACGAGCATCAGAACCACTCGGCCACGGCGTCCCAGTTCATCGTCACTTAGTTCTTGACATTAATCTCTCAGTATTGAACAGAAAAACTATGAAACATTATGTTGACACTATCAAGTCAGCACTGGCCCTGTTGCAAAATCATACCCTACAGTGTACTTAACATCTCACTACCGTTATGGCGCTACAGGTAGAAAATTTTCTGGAACGGTATATGGGCGATTGTGCAGTTACACCAAAAGCGCGACATGAGAATCATTTTCACCGGATTGTACGGCAAACGCATTTTTGGACAATGTGCCTCCTCAGCTTACTCTATTCAGAACCCTCCGATGGCTGAGAACAACCTGCTTCCAGCAGGGACCATCTTCTAAGCACTCGGCCCGAATCACTCTCCGTTCTACCTACTGTTTATTGATCGGTGCTCCTCGTTGCTTGCAGACGCCACAGTGCAGCCGCGTGACGTCACTAGATCAGTTTCGAAAATGGTAAGTGGTTGACTTAGCGGTTTTCAGTATAGAGCCTAGAATAATGTATGAGCGAGTTACTCCTACAAATAAGCATATGGATTATCATCAAACTTGCGATCGATACAATCCAAGCGCTTTTTGCTGTCCTCTCTCTGTGCACAATGCAGAAGTGATTCTCAAAGGAAAAGCCATATAGCACGGTATTATTCAAAGTCAGCGGTGTTCGAAGACCTAAAGAGTCTCGAAGTTCGATAAAGCAAGATTTCACATTGCACTACAGCTTTTTCGGGCGTTGATCTTTATTTTGCCAACGGAAATCATGAAAAGAATGAAGGTCTTAGAGTTGACATCTTGAAGGATGCACCATGTGTTAGACTTTATAAACACATCTTTAATGACACCTAATTTGATACCTAAGAGAATTGATTGGTGCGCAAAAACACGGCCTCAGGCGGAAATCGAACCCGCGTTTCATCCACACCTGGGATGAGCGTGCTACCACTACGCCACAGAGGCACATTTGCTCCAGCACTCATTTTTCAACATCTTTATGTTAGCTGTCGGCCATCAATCTTTAACAGGTTTAATCGGGTGTGCGATTAGCTAACGTAGAGATGTTGAAGGATGGACGGTGGCGCAAATGTGCCTCGGTCGTGCAGCGGTAGTTGCGCGCGTTTCAGGTATGGATGAAAGGCGGGTTCGATTTCCGCCTGGGGCTGTGTTTTCGCTCACCTCTCAGTTTTTTGGTATACATATAGCATCATAGCACTGCAAACAAAAAGCAGTAAAAATACTAGAATTTCGGAGTATCACATGATTTAATTTTTTTTTTTTGAGATCTAAACAGTGAAAGTATAATCTCAAAAATTTAGTGAGTTTCACATTTTATGGGGATCTGAAAAAATTGTAGACTGATTTGAATGCATATAGTCATAACGCTCAATGGTGCGCTTTAATCGGTGATCGTCAAAAGGTCAGCTGCTTTATCACGACATGAGCCATTTTGTGTAACAGTGAGCGGCGTCGCGTATAGAAGCCAATTTGTGTCGGAGCGCGCCACAATCGGAATAAGGGAATATGTCTGGTGAATTTTGATTCAAATTGAACTTATCACTACTCAGTAATAATCCCACGGAAACAACTTCCAGATAAGATATTGGTAATAGTCCAAAACCTTGTTTATATTGTTTGCTTGTTTATATTTACTTTTTCCTTGAGAACTTCGAAGCCTTGAAAGTAGTATTGACCTTTTTCATCCACAAACAGCTATATTGAGATCTCTTACATTATACTATTTCATCTACTAACCAGAAATATTCTTCGCGACAATAAATTTATGATTTCATCATGAAACCACAATGTAGTGATGAAGCTGTCCATCCGTAGTTTGATCCAACTACCGCTGCGTGGAAACTCAGCGCTTTCTACAAACGGCGGTACCCTGAGAATCGTGTTTGTTCCGCTCAGGAAAGCAAAGTTCACTGGGTGGCGCCTGCTCGATTTCCTAGATGAATAATGATGATCTATGTGAGACAAGTGAACAATCAATTGTTGAGAATTTGGCCATTTGAGCATGAGTATCTGTGATATCGTGTCTAGAGCAATGATGAGGTGTCATGGGTTCATTAAATTCCAATAAAATCCTTTCGCTAGCATTAGCGAGTGCTTTTGAAAGAGATGACACCTTGGATTGCATATTTTAGAAGTAAAGCTTTTAATCCATACTACTGTATCACTCAAGATGCAGTGCCAGAGCAATCAGGCACTCTTAGTTTTCATTCTTATCAGTCAAGAAGGTTTTTCTCAAATGGAAGCAAGTAATTTGCGCAATAGAACCTTGCCTTCGTTGCTAAAGAGACAGCAAAAAATGCTTGCTAATTAACGGAAAATTCATCTCCTCCTCCATGTGTCACTGTAATAGACAATAGTAAAAAATATAATTGTTTTTGAAACTAGGGTTTTGAAGTTCTTAAGTTAATGTTAAGTTTGGAGTTAAAGTTGAAGGCTTTTGATAAGACAAGATCAGAGACTGCTATGGTGCGCGAGAAAATAGGGATAACACCAATTCAAGCAGAACGCAAATATGGTCTTTTTTTTCGAGCCCAAGATACTCATCAAAGGGGATTTGACAAAGCGACATTACATCGCCATAGCTGTTTACCGCCGCACTCACTGGATGATGAAGTCGCTCTTGTGGGACGAGAAAGGCGTGCATCTATGGAAAGTTCCTGCATAACTTCGCTTTGTTGATGGCTTCCTCAGCTTTTGAAAAGTGTCTATGAAGTCGAGACGATGCTCAATGAACTCAACGAAGCGAAGGAAAGGTTGAGTTTAGTTCAAATAGGAAGAAGATCCAGTTTATGAAAAGAATCGATGGTGCGAAGGTGAACAGATTGAGCTGGTTGGTTTTCTGATTACGTCGACCACCTCCTACGTATACTATGGGTGATCACTGAACATGGGGAACAATATAAAGAAGAAATTAGCAGAAGAAGAAGAGCAGTTCTCCCTTTGAGCCTCTAAAAAAGCCAACGACCAAACAGTAAACGTCAAACTTTGTGCTCACCTCTTAATTTGATCAGATCCCCAGAACTCTGTTTTGCAATAGAGAAGCGAACTAATACTGCAGCTACGTCAAGAAAGTTGTGGAAATTTGTGGGCTCCTCAGTAATGTCTTCTGAAAATAAAATATTGATTCGCCCAGCACCAGGCCGCTTTGTGTCACTCAAATGTTCGAAAACTATTTCATTTTTGAAGCCATTGATGCAGAGTGTTGTGCAAAGCTTTCGCGTCAGCCGGGACTCAAACCCACATCTCTCTATGCGGGAGCGCCTGCTCTGAGCCGTTGCACTATTGACGCCCATTTTGCCCACTACTCTTTCTACGCTACAACGCATCTATCTGTCAGCCGCAAATCGTTTCATTTTTCTCATTTTTACATCACTTCAGTTTTTCGTAACAGGCCGATCTATCATATAAATTATCATGATAACTAATTTGTTTCTATAAAAGAGGTCCCAAGCGGATTTGAAACCACTGTGTTCAAAACTCTGATTAGCCCTTCCCTCATATATGTCCAAGCATCGGGTATTGTGATGTCCGCGTGTTTCAGTACAACATTTCATTTGGCTATTCGTCGGCACTGATTTTGATAGGCTTTTGTTGTGGTCTTCATTACTGATTTATTATGAAATGCTTGGTGTTGTGATCTTTATATTGTTCGCTCCAGTTTTTTTCCCTCTCTTTTTATTATTTAATCTCCTTTTATCTCTCCTTTTCTTTTAATTTTCAATTTCTCTTTTTCTTATACTTAGACTGACGCTATGTCGACGTGCGAGCGCGTGTACGAGAAGCTGCTAACACCGCTGGAAGAGGGCCACATCCGACGCTGTTGCTGGATGGCATGAATATCATGTACCTCTGCAGAGCAAACGAGTGAGTGATCGAGAATAAATCATAAACTTCTAGTTTTTTTTGACTTTGTTGATTAGTACAATAGGGGTACTACAGTAGAATGAGAGGAGAGATTTCGAGTCTCCTTGGGTTTTATGTCCTTTTTGGCAATAATGCGAACCATGAAGTCTTTTATCATCCTTGTAATATTTCAGTCTTACTCTTTAGTACAAATCTGGCAGTACCATTAAATCTGGAAAGAGATTTTAATAGTCTTTTTGAGCTTTATAAGTGTCTTTTGGCAGTGATTCTGTTGTTTTTCTACTTTTCCTATCATTTTCCTCCAATATTACTTGTCATGGACTTTTTTATAGTGCTATTCAATGGAAGAAGGAATTATTCTATCATACAAAACTGTCAAAACAATAGTGATATTTCGCCTGAAAGATACGTTTCAAAGCAAATAACTACTACGCAAATTTCTCCATGAAGCTGCAAAAATTTTCCATAGCATGTTCGTTAGAATTTTAGCTAATTTTAAAACGAAACTCTTGCGACTACTCTCAGTAATGGGGCATTTGATCGCTAGAGACTTCAATGTGGTGGCCATCGTGCCACGATCATTCTAAATTTCGTTTCCGAAACGAAACGAGGTGTTATGGATGTGAGTTTCGGCGATATATTGTAATAAAATTGAGGTGAATTCCCTTCTCTTCGGCATGCCGAAGACCCTCTGGTTAATTGCTTTTCTATTTCTTGCAAATAATAGGAAAAAAATCTGAAACGCGCTCCTTTAACTTCGACAATATCAATCAACGATGGGCCCATAATCGAGTAGCTAGTGATGCTCGAGGATTGGTAGATACCCCTTACTTCTCGTGAATACTGTCCAGCAATCAATGGCGAATACCCTAGGCCGGTTGGGCTCGAAATTGCAAAAAGATGTGCTCGATCAGTATTGCATGACGTTAGTGAAGAAGATAGATTGAAAGCGACTGCCAATGAATTATCTATCCCGTGTCGATTGAGCCAGTTGCCACAAAATTGACTTGAAGAAATTTTGAAAACACTCTGATAATGATGAAGACGTCGAAGTATTGGCCGAATTTATTTCTACAAACATAATGCTACTGACTCAATTAAGAAAGGAGATATGATTTGAAAGCTAACAATATTACGTTTTGAAGATATAATATGATTCCTTTAATTCACCCGCTTCTAGTGGTGGTATGATGTTTCAACTATACCCATTGATGCAGTGTGATGTGCAAAAATTTCGCGTCAGGCGGGTTTAAAACCTGCACCACACTCTATCCGGGAGCGCGTGCACTATCCTTTGCACTACTGACACCTATTTTGCACACCACTCTTTCTACGCCACAGTGTATCTATAACGCATCTATCTGATGTCACTCTTAGTTTGCATTTTTCTTAGTCAAAAAGGATTTAGCCAAACGGAAGCAAATAGCAAGCAATTACTGCTAACGTTCGTAAAACATATTTGCTCATTCGTTCTTAATTTACCAGTTCGATCTGAAACAGCTGAGTTTTGTGATTATTTAGACATATTTGCGATGACGAGAGTTAATTCGATTTCACACGCAATTTATTGGCATTTATGAATTGTCACTCATAAGCGAAAGTTATGCGACACTCAATTCAAAGAAAGAAGTCTGCTATCATCTACATCAACTGAATCTGGACTGAGATTTTGCATCAAGATTCTACAACTTCGATTTTTAGACGCAAAAACATCTCTCTCTTAGAATCTTTGTTGGGAATGGACCTAGATTTCGTAGAAAAAGCAAAATTTTGTCGGAAACGGCGATGGTGATTTTTACAGCTGCCTCCCTTATATTTGAAGTTCGAAACTTCAACTCTCATTCGCTCCATTCTCTCCCCTCCTCCTTCCTCAGTCCTTCTGTCTGCACCTCAGCGTAGCGTCCTCGCACGATAGAATGTAATGTCTTCTATGATCCTCCAAATTCTAAAGCCGTTAACTGCGAAACTGAACAACGTACGTCCTCGTGCGTTGACGTCGACGCACAGCCGAGCGTCGTTTGATTAGAGAAGCTTTTCGCACCTACAGTGATTTCGGGGCTGGACTGGGTGATCTAAGCATTGATTCAGTATACCTTGATTCTATATAAAAGTTTGAAGTGTTTAACTATGTGTTGGTTCGATTCAGACAACCACCACTTCTAAGAGAACAGAAAAAAAGTGAATGCAGTTTTCGTTAAGTTGAACATAGTCCTTTCTACTACAACACTCGCGCTTCCGGTAGAGAACTTTCAGGAGATGACGAGCTTCACAGTTATGGATACA